TTAGGATGTTTGTTACTCTTTCATGCAATAACTATTGAACGGATTTGACGAAATTTAGTTTATGGATAATTCTCGGCCTGGATTAACATACAGGCTACTTTTTATCTCACTAAACGTTTCCTTATGGACCACGCGGACAAATCCGCTGACAAAATAAACGGAGATCGCATATGCCACTCATAATCATCTACAACCTCCATGCATACACATATCCCAGAATTCAAATATGTCATAGAGATTCCCATACATAGAAATAAGTATATAAAATATCTAGTAATTAATGTCTAGTACATAATTTTAACATACCTCTAATTACACTAACGGTCCATAGTATAGACATACTTTTAGACGTGGAGATGAAGGATAGAATTCTTCATGTTATTCAGTTTGCAATATCTAGCTCGTAAATGTCAACCTTGGAATTGTGTTTCTTTATACAATAACGAACAATAGCCCATAGCGGTCTGATGTTAAAAGACACAAAGAGTATAAAGTTTGTAACAACGTCTGACGAGAGCCATTGACGCACGCATCCTCCGGAACCGAGCCGTGTCAGAATGTGCAAGAAACAACGTTTAATGAGGACACTGAACTCTGTCAGCGAAATTTTCCTTATAAACTTACTAATTGTCACCCGCGGTTTCACCCGTGTAGTAACATAATACATCTCCCAGTGGGAAAGAGGCGATTTTTCCAATAAAAATCTGTTTCACACTCTAGACTCCGAACTGTCTCCACACAAAAGTATACCATAAAAACGCTCATGATAGAAGAACGACTAATATTAAATAAAAACCATCATTATAATAAAAAAACACATTAATGAAAAATAATAAATTTTCTATTTTTTTTTCTAGTTATATATGTTTTGAGTACACATACCTACATATAGAAAAACCGCTAAAGATAAAAACCGTGATGTGTCTTTAATAATATGCAAGTTATTAAACTATCTAACTAAGCCTACTGATGAACACGATTCTGATTTTATTTATCTACAAATATATATTAAAAAAGAACTAAATGATTACATACGTTTATAAAACGCCTGCGTATCCCGCAAGCGATCCATAGTAAAGATATAGATAGATTTATAGTATCAGCGCAACAAGTTATCATACAATGGCAATTTCTCAATATATTTTGAACTCTAGTAGCAAAATTTTAGGGCTTACAATAAAGTGGAACAATTTGACAGTTTTGTAAAATAGGATGGGATGTTAATACACCAGATCAAAACTAAATTCAAATATAATTAAATACAAAATAAAATTAACTCTACATCATATACAAAATATTTCTGAGCTCTAAATAAGTAATGTAATATATTTAATACAAAAAAAAAAGTATAGAAACGGTTAAAATCTAATAATTATTTCAATCAATATTTATTCTTCAAACTTTTTAATAATATTTCTATTTTTGCTCAATAAATGTTTAAAAAATATTTATTCACCTTTAGATCTTCTATATCCAGCAAGTGTACCCCACTGGTTCTTTTTAATGTCCGCAACTTCACTATAAATGTTAAATTCACTAGAAAATGTCTGTTGTTGAAGCACTAAGTTTTTTCTATTATTCTTAGAGTCTGTTTGGAATAACGATACAATCTTATGTATGGGAGTCATAATCACAGAAATTATATTACACTGTATTTTCTTTTTTCGTTAAACTAAAACAATATTTAAAGAAATATGTATATAAACTAATAATAACTTATTTAATAACAATTTTTATACTTTTGTAATGTTTAAATTCATTGACTCAAAAGAGTTCTCCATACACTCAGTCACTGACAATAAAAGAAATTAAAACATTACTGAGTTTGCACCTTAAAAATATATATCACCTTTTTTCACACTCAATATAAAAAGAGTTCTGTTAATATCACTTTTTTTTCAATAGAGGCAAAGGCGACAATGTCGCGCGCCGGTCTTTTGACTATTGCGGTCTAACTTTCTTCAGCGACTTTCAAGCTACCATTCACCCTGAATTTGTATTGCACTCATTATGAAATAGTTAGAAATAACTGTACACATATACATTTATTCATTTTATAAAACACTACAGTAACTTTTAATTATTTTAATTATTCAGAATTAGAATACTGTTATAAAAAAATCATGAATAATAATGTTTTCCAATAACTTATTTTTATATAACAAACTGCGGAATAAAAACAAATGTAAAAAAATCTGTGGCATTCATTTTATTTGTGGATTTTATAAATACATATGCTGAATATCTATGATGTGCGTTAACTTCATTTTAATTGAATTAATTTGATCATTGCAATCTTAATATTATATTGATTGCCCTCTAACATTTCGACTGTGATGTGATATTGCGAAAAATTGTCAATTTGACCCGTAATCAAAAATATATTAATATTTCGCTTTTAATAAGTTGTGATTAACTTATTAATTAAACCTAAAATTGCAGAGAAAGATTTCATAAAATATGTGATGGCACTTTTTAAGCTCCTGGATTGAGCTACTGGTATAACAAATAAAATAAAAAAATGAATGTTATCTCATAAATAGTCGTATATAGTAGCCTCCAAAATAAAACGTTTTAATGTCTATGTAACTTTAACTCTCTAGCTACAGCTCAATATTAGCGATTAATTTCATTTTACTACTTTGATGTATTCATTTAATAACGATAAAGCAATGATATTGAATGATGATATGGATAAGACAGTAGTGTAATGGCTACACAATTTAGAGTAAATAACGTCGTCATGCTTCATTGACTCGACTGCTATTTTATCTCATTTTCTCCTTACGTTTAATGTGCACTCTTGAAATGGATTAACTAAACCTCTATGTACCAAACATTGTTTTAGCAATATCTAAAAGTTTTACGATGTGAACTGGCATGTTCAACATTAATTAATTGTTTCGGAACGCGTTTTCAAACGGATTACGCAATACCCACTCGCACGATGGGCGCGTAATATGGTGGTTAGTGGTGGTTTAAATGCTACAGAAACTTATTTTAATTTTAATTAGCTAACTTTAACAGCGTAACACTTCTACAACACTATAATAGCATATCTTCACCCAGATCGCAATTTTTGATAAGCATATTCAGTAAAATGCTCAGGCAAGCCATATTACGCAATAACCAACATTAATATTTTTTTATTAGTTTTGTTAAAGATGAAACTTGTTGTGTAATAGATAATAGTAGCAAGTCTATGGATAATGGGTGAATAATAGTATCATCATCATCAACAACCTTCTAACGTCCCTACTGCCTATCCATGACCCAACACGCGGTGTGGACTGGTGGGTATTAACGACTGCAGATGCAACCGGGACCAACGACTTAATGTGCCTTCCGAAGTCTCTAAATAAATAATAAATCTTTGGCCACCCATACACCCATAATACTATGGAAGAGATGAGACTTATTTCTTCCACGGTTTTATATAGTTAAATATTACCCGTGAGTTTCTAGTATATTAAACTAATTTCCTGACAAGCGACATCTGTATAAAACTGTAAAAAACAAAACGAAAAAACAAAGCATGCTTGATATAACGTAGATGGCAGCACGGTACTATTCTCAGCATACTACTTTATAGAGCTTGTTATATATTAACGCATAGTAGAGATAGATGGCGTTAGCGATTGTGATTATTTTGTTGATGATGCACAAACTTGATACTAATTTTGTTTCACACTTTATTCTCAACCATACCTATTTGTAACGCCAGAATTTTCTACCTACATATTACTAAAAGAACTTTACTATTAATTATGGCATCAAATAATATTTTATCGACATCTATTATATTTTTTTAAAAAGAAGCTACTACATCGAATTAAACTATTATAATTATCTTAATGCGATTTTATATTGATCCTTAATTTGATTTTTTTTGATAGTGTTAAAATTAAAATGATTCCTCAAAACAACCTCCTTCAATAGTATAGGTATTTGCTAGTAAAAAGGAATCAATTTTAAGTCTGTGGAACTATAATAGAATGAGAGAGAGTCGAAAATAGAGTTTAGTTGACTCAACACATGTTGTTCCTATTTTACCTGTGCGCCATTAAAAGGCATAACTTCGACTGGCACATAGAAAGCTTTTCTATAACTTCGTGATCTTACACATATCTATATTAACTTTTATCAATCGACTTATTTTTGCACGCCAATTATCATGATACAGGATAAAAGCATTTTGTTTCTTTTCTTTTGAAAATATCACAGGACAAAAAATATTACGTCGCCAAAAAAATTACAATAAGTTTTACAAAAGGATGGAAAACTGATTCCAAGAAAAATCACCAAGCCATACAAAAAGTATAGTAGGTTTCAAAAAGTATCAAATCTTATGTAGAGCCACGCTTAACTTGCCTTGCCTTGCCTTAACTCTCTACACATTAGTAAACGCACGTGGCTTGACCTTCTCTTGATGTAATACTAAGGCCATTAAGATTATGGTTTTCCTTCTTTCTGTAACTTTTATTCAAATAGATTTACAGATTTTGACAAATAAGATAGACAATAATTTTTATGTTTTTTTTTTTTGTTAAATATTCTTTAATCCACACAATTTTCTTATATTTTTCTTTTATAAGACCTTTTCCTAACAATAACAAACACAACAAAATAAAAAGAAATAACCAAATTGGGCCAGTCATTGACTTATGATGGCGTAACCAAGGGAAATAGGGATTCATTAAAAACAATTATTTTTAGACTAAATTTCGTATTTCCCTGTTGAACTGGAAACCACCATCATATTGATTAACAAAATACCAGTCATAATATATTATGGACGTGCCTACTTACAACAAAAAAATGAAAAAAAAAAATTGCTATTCAAAAGAGGCTACTAAATGCTTCCAATTAAATAAAGAGAATTTGAACCTTACTTGGTATCTAAAGAACGTAACTAATCCTATCAGTCTCACGGGAATTTTCTCAGCGCCGGAACAAGTTCGTCAAATTCTTGTCTACATTAAAAATAAAACAAAACCTACCTTTATTAGTAGGCAAGGTTGTAGGCCTCTGCGCTGGCACCCTGTGGGGAGGAGGCTTCCGAGGCGAGGGGGGCGGAGCCAGGGACGTGCGCCCGCGCACTGACACCGGCGATGCTGATAACTTCTGCACCACACCATTTTTCTTAGCTGCAATTAAAAAATAATGTTAATTCATCAACATAGGCATAGATAAGTAAATAATTATACATTGCTAACTTCCTTAGAAAAAAAAATAAGATTAACAAATAGCACACTCGATGTCGCTAGTTGTTTTATACTTAAGAAATTAAATTTAATCCGCTTTTTATTGAAGTTCATCATTATATTCATTATAATGATTTTGTGGGTTTCGGTGTTGTTTTTCATCTAGTTATAACATAAGCGGATCATATATTTTATTTTCAATAGCTTGATAGTTCTCTAAGTGAATTGAGAATTACTTTAATTTTGAAACAAGCAAGAGACGAGGAAGTTGCGTTGATTTTTTATGGAAAATAGAAGACAATGAACTTCTTTGACCGCACAAACTCCAGTTAGTGGAATACATATTTTCTTTAAAAGTCTATTACCTACGACAATAATTGAAACGCGTTTATTCTTATGCAAAGAGTCAGTGAGCTTAGAATAATTAGGTAACTTTATAAAAATATTTATTAAACGCACATATGACTTTTGACACATATGGGTGTAATAACTTTTGAATGCCGTTTACTCTAATACATATTTTTTGTAAGGAATTTTCGTAGTACGCTGTATAGCTGAAGCCAGTTTGATGTGTCAAAATAAAACTCTTAAGTGACAGATCAACTGTCAGCAGGCCCATCAGAGTAGGTTATAATGTGCCTATAAGAGAAACATCGTTCAAACGTTATTATTCTGTACGTTTTGTGAATCTTATAAATTGAAACGTGCAAACGGTTCGTTACAAAATACCTATATGTGCCATTAATGCTACCTTCAAACCAAACTGAACATCAGCCGCTGGCTACAAGCGAGTTAAAGGCTGTATTGTACTCTCTATTTGGTGTGAACCTATGCTAAATATTAGTTAAAATTTATAAACGTCGAAAAAATGTTCAAAAAACGGACAACACGATGTCGTGTGAATATTTACCAAAGTACTTATGCCTTAAGCAATAGCATTTAAAAAACAAAATTTAAAACATTTTAAAACTCGATAGGTTAATATCGGGTTACGTAGCAATATTTTGCTACACACAATAGTATTTAAACCTAATTGATAGTACTATCGAACCAGTTACGTCTTGGCACACTTTTCAAAGGACAACCTATGCGCAGGCGACAGGCTCTATTGTCTATTTGTTAGACAACTCTTGCATCACTATTACGACATGAGAGTAGGCTAAAAGCTAGTTTTATTATGCTCTTTCACATTTGATAATAGTGTCAACGACATATAACGAATAACATTCGCTATACAAATTTAAATCTTATTCTAAAGTTATTAGGAGTAATTTTATTGAAAAAACAAAGTGAAAAGGTTATTCTCAGTCAGATCTCCTGAGGCGATCTATCAATAACATTGCATAAATGATAAAGTATAGATATATTATGAAAATTTTTGATTTCATAATCTTTTTTGATACACCCTTTTGAAAAAGGTAATAGACGACCGAGTTCAATTTATAGGTTATTTTAAAATTATGCATATTTATGCATATTAAATCAGATTATTTTATTATATATGAAATTACGTAAAAAAATAAAAAATTTCGTGGGACTTCACTAATATTTGAAATAAAAATAGCTAATAAAATCACTGGAGTCAGCGAGATGACATTTTTTGTATGAAATGTCTTATCTATTTATGTATCTATACCTAGACTAAACTTATTCATAAGCCGCGCAAGTAAAGTTTATTTACAGTACACGTATCTCGACAATGAATCTACCTCCAGTTTACCTTGTAACAACAACTAGTATAACGGAATTCCAGTCCAACGCATCTTGGCATTAGAATACAGGTGTCAGTCTATATATACGTTCTTGCGTCGAAAGCAGCGACGAACATAGCGCCGTCGCAGAATAGAAGGTTCAATCCCACTTTAAAAAATAACAAAGGTTTTATTTCAATGATGTTATAACCTGTATCCGACTCTGTATTTGTAGCAGAATGTCAAAGCTCGTCAATATAAAACCTTAAACGTTTTAGTTGCTTTCCTTATAAAATTAGAAGCTTATCGCCTATCTCGGTAAGGGCAATAACGGTTTATAGCTGTGATAGCCTTTTTAGGAGATGATCAATGATGAAAAACGTCAGAGCAAAGTCAAATGCATCGAAAGGCGAGCAAGCCCCGAGCTCGACTTAACTGGTTCTCTTTTCACGTAACTGTCAGAGCTTATATGGCGCGAACCAATATATCTTCATTTGTCTGAACATAAATAAACGTATAACCAGTGGCTGACTATCTGATTGAGACAGATGATTTTCTCAGCAGATCAAAGTAGACTGTGTTGTGAAATATTTAAAGATATAAAAACATATGTTAAAGTCATCGGATTAGAAAAACATTTTCAGAATTTCATTTTGGTATTATACGTATTTAGTTTTTGTCTTCGTGTATTTTGACTTCATTAAACGTTATGAAGATGTAGGAACTAAGCTATAAATTCCTATATATGCACTATGATTGCTATACACATGTCGAAAAATATTTGACTTATAAATGCGGAAAATTAGATTTCTGTAATCTGAACTGAAAAAGCTTCAAACATTATACGTCTTATAATACGAATACTAACTTTTGACCACGTTCAAACCATTATCCGATCAAAAGAAGATGATACGACTCAATTTAAATTCCCCTCAGTCAATGTCAATTTACTTAAGGTTAAGTTAAAGTTACTAAGTTGATGATGTTGTTCCTAAATTACAAAGTTACTAAGTTTTTATGATGTATCTTGATCATTCAAATCATCATTCGTTTCGAAAGCGATTACGCCTTTAAACATTACATAATTCTATAAACCGCTCTACCTTTGAAAGGGATTAAAGGGATTTGACGACACATCGACATTGAATAATTAGATGTCATAGGAATGAGAAAGGTATGAAGATAAAATTTAAGAAATACCAATAAGAAAACAGATTGTTTCAGTATCCATTTACCATTAGAGAATTTTATTGTTTTTGTAATTAAATACTCAAACCCTTGCATGGTTTAATGGCTACATATTATTACTACATACAATTACTAATAACACCTTTGTTTCTAAACTGTGGTGGAAAATTTACACATTTAAAGATCGTTAATTTTTTTCAGTTATAGAAACAGACTTAAATTATACTTATGACTTTTACAGCCGCATTAAAATTATCATCAGTTTAAAGCGAAATTACCAAAACAAATTTGACATTCATTCGAGCTTAAAGACGTCATTAAACCTTAATAATAATAATAATAATAATATAATCTTTATTGCACACATACAGACAGGAAAACAGAAAGAAATTACACAGTAAAACAATACAAGGTACACAAAAGGCGGCCTTATTGCTAAACAGCAATCTCTTCCAGGCAACCTATGGAAGGGAATAATAAAAGGAAAGGGAAAATATGGGGTATTGGGTGCAATGGTCAGAAGGATATGATAAGATATATCTTTGCATATTAAATAAAAAAGTATAAGTAAATAGTATTAACATAGAGAAAGGAAATAGCTTTCAACTCGATCGCCGAAAGAATTAAGTGAGCGAGTGTGCCTAACATCCTCCGGGAGAGAATTCCATAAACGCACAGCATGTACAGAAAAGGAATAGGAGAAGAAATCGGAACTATGACGCGGGATGTCCAAAGTGAGGTTGGATGAGGATCGCAAGGAACTCAGTGACGAAGAAGAACGAAAAGAGAAACATTGTTTGAGATAGTGTGGAGAGGAAGGTAGGAAAAGTATAGAATATAGTAACTTTAAAGTGTGTAAGTCCCTGCGCCGGCGAATAGGGAGCCAAGACAATCTGGAACGAAAATTCGACACATGGTCAAATTTACGAAGGTTAAAAATGAATCGGATACAAATATTCTGCAGACGCTCTAATTTGTTGAGAAGTTCCTCTGATAGATCCGTGTAGCAAACATCAGCGTAGTCTATGATCGGTAACAATAACGAATGAGCTAAAGAGACTTTAGTACTAGTAGGCAAAAAGTTGCGTAGTCTATTAAGTGAATAGTACGTGGCAAATACCTTTTTTCTAACGGCATCCACTTGCGGCTTCCAGGAAAGATTTTGATCGAAGATGACGCCAAGGTTTCTAACAGTTTTTGAATAGGGAATCACAATACCGTTAAAAATTACTGAAGGTAGTAACTCAGGACTAACCCTAGAAGTAAAATGAGAACTGCCAATTAGAATCACTTGAGTTTTAGAGGGGTTAACAGTAAGACCGTATGAATCACTCCAATTACTAATGCGAGACAGGTCAGAGTTTATTACTGAGACTGCCTCTGATAAGTGCGAAAAAGGCGCTTGAGTATAAATTTGAAGGTCATCTGCATATAGGTGATAGGAACAAGAAAGCAAATCAGTTATGGAATTAATAAATATAGAGAAGAGAAGAGGAGATAAGACGCCACCCTGAGGAACACCGGCTTTGATATCGCACCACGCAGAGACGGATTCGTCAATGCGGATCCTTTGCCGGCGTCCTAGCAGGTAACTTCGAAACCAGGCAATTGCAGCTGGAGATATGTTGAGAGAAGCCATTACACCGAGAAGGATGTCAAAATCAACCGTATTGAAGGCATTGCTAAAATCTAACAATGTCAACAACGTAAGCTGACGATTTTCCATACCTCGTCGAATGTCATCAGTAATTTTCACCAATGCAGTAGTAGTGCTATGGCCAGTACGAAAGCCGGATTGAAATGGATTAAGAAGGTGGTTTGGATTAAGAAAAGCCAGTAACTGACGGTTAACAAGTTTTTCAAGGACTTTGGAGAGAAATGGGAGAATGGATATGGGACGGTATTCAGAAAAAGAGGATGGGTTTGACTTTTTTGGTAGAGGAATTAGGTTTGCATCTTTCCAAGATGAAGGAAAAACTCCAGATGAGATTGAAGTATTCAGAATCTTAGTTATTATCGGGGACAGGATATGAATTAGGGGTAGGATCATTTTGCGACTAATGGAATCACTACCCACTGCACTGGAATTGATCGACAGGATAGTTCTCTCGACATCACAGTCTGCAAATTGGCGAAGGAAAAATGGAGAATCAAGAGTTGGTAGACTTGAAAGACGATGTAATGTTTCAGCCTTACGATTGCCGTCAATAGGAGCAGAAGTAGAAAAATAGCTATTAAGTTTGTTAATGTCAAGATTGGTATCGGAAATTTTATTATGAGATTTTCCAACTCCAAGAGATTTTAGGAATTTCCACACTTTCCCAGAATCTTGATTATTCACGGATTCATGAATATAGCGTCTTTGTGCGTCCCTTATCACCGTATTGCACCGATTTCTAGCGCGATTGTATTTAAGCCCATTTTCATTTGAAGAGTCAGCCCTGAATTTCGCCTTGGCCCTATTCCTCCTTCGCATCAATCCCTTAATCTCATCCGTTAACCAAGGAGCCGGCAAGCATTTGATTTTAATAGGCCGTACTGGAGCATGTATATCGTACAGATCTGTCAGGTACTTATTAAATAGTTCGACTTGTTCATCCACTGAGCTTGTGGCGGAAATTGCACTCCAATCTATCTTAGCGGCATCCTCACGCAGAAGATCCTCATCAATGCCTGTAAAACCACGCTGAAGTTGAACCGTCGGCCTCATTTTAGGAGAACGGATTTTGTATGATAAATAAACTAAATCGTGGTACGAAAAAGCATCAGCAGAATATTGACCGTGCTTAATAGCGAAAGAAGGAGAAGAGACTAATATAAGGTCAAGTAGAGATGGAGTACAGTTGGGGAAATGGTGAGTTTCCTTAGACGGAAGAATGTGTAAATTTAACGAGTTAGCTAAGGAAAGTAACTTTTTGGAGCGGAAGTCATTTTTACATAAACAGGTATTGAAATCACCCATTATTATAGTATGGGTATAAGAAGGACTAAAATTTTCAAGGAGATGTTCAAATGAATCGAAGTAATCAACTCGTAGAGAGGGGCTATAGAATACACATAAGAGAACCTTGGTATGACATAAAGAGATCTCAAGAAAGAGATGCTCGGCGCTGTTGGGGGGTGGCGGCTGGGATGATCTGCTGAGGACGGAAAATGGAATATGAGCACGTAAATAGATAGCCACCCCACCATGAGAGGAACTTACACGATCGTTACGGACTAAATTAAATCCAGGCAAAGTATAGGAAGCGGAAGATAGACAGGGATTAAGAAACGTTTCAGAAACTAGGATGGCATGGATATTCTTGCAATCAAATGATGCAAGCATGTCCGGAAAATGAGCGGGGATACTCTGTGCATTTATGTGTACAGCATTAAAATTTTTGCTAACATCAGAGAAGGTGTCAGTAAGAAATTCGTTCAGAGGGCGCGTGACGCTTTGAAAGCTGGAATCAGAAGAGGAAGAAGAGGAACAGGATAAAAATATATCATCATTTAAAGATATATCCATAATATGAAATATATATATATAAAAATTGAATAATATTTAAATACAAAATTAAACATATATGTAAATACCCACAGGTTGTCAGAAAGAAGATTTGTACAACTGACCGTTAGTTCATAGTAATTCAAATTGAAGTTTGACGTTCTCATATACATAATATTACCTACTACTGTTTATGACTTTCTTTCTACAGTATAGAAACTAAACTGTGAAGTTAAGTGCTTGTGAACAAGAGCTGCTCATCTCGTGATGAAATACATAAGTTCATGTCTTCTTGTGTTATATTATTTGCTTGAAAAACTATGAAGATGTTGAAAATTTTATTCTGTAAAATATTACTGTATTTTCATTACAATGGTGAGAGCGAGATATCTCCAACACAAGTATTACTTTTAATTGCTGGAGTAGTTTCATGTTTGATTATTGTTAAAAAATTTTGGAAAATAAAGACTATATTATTATTATCCTCCTCATTCCCCTATGATTTCTCAGCTTGAAACTGGTCAGCTGTTTAGTTTAATAACAGGCACTGGCAAAGTTATTAGAGTATTAATTTTTTCATCTTTTTCGTGTTATATTATTATTATTCATACTGTATATATGTTCTACCTGTATGAAATTGAATTACGTATTTAAAAAACAACTTCGGACCAAAGTTGTAAGCTTGTTTGTTTTCATTATTGTACTAAAAAGTGACTTCATAATCTGTAGAAACATTTTCATTTAATCTGTAATATACAAGAATAAATAAGCAGATTACCGAAATTCTTGTAGTTACTACTTAGTACAAGGTACAATGGTGAAAACGTTAAAAGTTTTTAACGTTCACGAGTACTAGTCAACTATTATTTTATGAATAAGTTTCACATCGATTTATAAGAGCTTTTAACAACAAAATTTTATTTGTGAAATAAATACTATAATAGTTCATCGGTAACTGCTTATAAAAAAAATATATTTGAATATTAGAAGGTCTTCGGATTGCATAGAAGGAGAGTTTTTACCAGTTCCATTTTTTATTAACAGTTTTTAGGACATTTTAATTAGATATGAATATAAAATATTGACAAATTAATATAATAATTAATATTGTCGCGGATCACAAGTTCCGATTGTGATATAAGCCCCTCAGGACAAAACTAAGGCGATAGATTTCACACTGCATAACGCTGTATGGCGAAGTTTCACTAAATTTATAATTTGCAAAACAAATATAGACATTGTTCCATTGATCATTCCATTATCATTTAACTTTGATTCGTTTTATAAATGTTATAATAATCCTTTTTGAATATATCAAGATTTGATTGGTATTTTAAGAGAAGCAATGTCAATCAGTTTACTTAACATTATTGGTCCATGATAGAGTGTAATAGTAAGATGATACTATAAAAATGACCTAACACTTTTGATGTTATAAGAAGTCTTAAAAACATTGCAAAATATGACTGTAACAAAAACAATATCATGTATCAAATAAAGACGGATTGCGTAAAATGCATAGACCGTGGTCGTACATTCCCGCCAAAAGCTTTAGTTTTTCATAATGCATTTTTTTTTAAATCAAATGCGTTATTTGTAAATTGAGTCGAAAAAGGTTTTATGAGTGATGGTACTTAGGCAATCGTCGCTCATTAAATAGGGTTTCGCAGTCTCAGGGGAGATTTTAGTGGATATGACGTAAGTATGACTCACGTTGTGCTGGTGGGGGTTGTGGGGGTGCCGGCGGGCGAGCTGGGGTGGTCGGCGTCGGGGCACTCTCCCGCTTCTTGCCGTTCCCTGGAAAAAGCGTGATACACAGGGGTGAGTAATGTTACAGTATTTCATATAACACCTACTTATTATAATCTCGTTCTTTTTTGCATCGTCATTCTCGTGTTAAAAGAATAATACTAAAACTATTACCTTTTTATAATAAATTTTTCATACATCAAAATCATAGAAAAAATACTTTTTAAAAAAGCAATAATATAAAATAGTGTATCATACTTTATAGACAATTAGAATACATTCACCTAGTTTCACAAATGTCCGTTGAGGTTTAATGACGACTTTAAGCTTTATTGAATGCTTACAAATATTTAAATTTCAAAATTGATAGTAATGTTGCCTTAAGCTAATAATAATAGGGATGATGACTGGGTAAAAAAAATGCAATTCTATTTAGTCCGTCAGTCAGATAATAGAAAAATATTAGATACCTATTTTTTTTTACTTCAAATTAATAAGAAATAGCTTAGATAACAGGCATTAAAGTTGAGGAGTGGGGGCTCGCTACGGCACAGTTGAGTAGAAAACGTACTCTAACGTGACATCATGCGAAATTTTAACTCAATGTAACGCCGTAATTTTAAAATTACGAAAATAATAAAAAAATACGTGTTTAATATTTTTTAACACTCTACCTCGACGGACAAACAAACAAAAATTAGTCATCATCTCTATTTTAATGGACTTTCGTGCAACTGAACTTTCAGACATCTTAATTTCTAAGTTTTAAATGCAAACATGTGTGTACATTCTAACCCTTATAATGTTTTATTTTTATTTTATACCGACATATGTCAGACAGAGGTGTTGCCTTTAGTTATATTATGAATCTCATTGTAAAGGAACATTATTATGTTTGTCTGAGAATAACAGTCAGTTGCATAAACGTTCATTAGTTTAAAGCGACATTACCATGCAAATTTGACATTCATTAGAGCTTATAGGCGTCATTAAACCTTATTGACAATTAATGTCTTTAAACCTAAATATTTTTTGGCTGCTTAGGTAGCTTATCTAAACATTGAACGAAATCACTTAATAGCAGCGAAAGTACTTAAGAAATTCGTTAGTCAAGGTCTCTGATAGAGTAGTGTACCCAGTAGTTCAGGTATTCGCTCTGTAAGCGAAAGGTCATGTGTTGGAAAACCGTCTGTCTCGAGTATCTGAGACTTGAAATATTATTATTTGATCATTACTTAAAATATTTAGGAGATAAATTATAAAACATTTTGAAAGAGTTCTTTCTTTTTTTATCACCTACCAAAGACTAGACTACAGAAATCACTATATATTATATTTTTAGATCAGTTAAAATATATGATTTTATAGTAAATTGTATTGAATTTAATAATTATATGAGCAATTTTTCTAAAACAAACTTGATTGCTATAGAGCATGTAAAACCACCCAATGAACAAAAAAACCAATAATAGTTGGAGAAATCGACAACTGTTAACGGAAAGACATCTAAAGGTATTGGCTTGATATAGATGACCGATAAATGGAACACCAATTCGCGGGGAATACTACACGCAAGATCACAATAGCGTACTGCATTACAAATACGAAAGTCGTTAATACTCTAATGCCTAAAAGGAATACAATAAAATTGAATCGCTTTAAAACAAATTATGTGATCTAGAAAGGTCGACACCTAGAGAAACTGAGCTAAGGAACTTGAAAGGAAAAAAGGTTCATTGTGTTACAACGTAGTGTACAGACAGCTACTATCTCGAACTTGTATCTAAATGTGGGAACCGGTCGTTACGCAAACAAATGGCGATAAGAAAAAAAAAACACTTCTTGTTACGTCTCGTACATAAGCGATATTAATTATTCACTGTAAAGAACAACTGAGAATTTACTACAAGCAAAAACGCTACATTTTTAATTCAGATTTTTGTTAATTCCAACATTTAAACATGGAATATCGGTTGTTTAAGTGATTTAGTTGGCATTCTTTACACCGCTAAAGTATTTTTTTATAGATGGGAAAAACATCGTTAAAGCACCAAAAGGTTACGGGTTGTTAAATAAGTAGGTAGTGTGCTATTGTATTAACAAAATTGCGACCCAAATTTCTACTATCAAAAATGGACAAAAACAAGAATCAGACTTTCTTTAAAAAGTAGACGTTTGGAACTTTTTAGACTTTAATGCCTGTAAATGTCTATACCCTAAGCAACAATGCGGTGTATTTTACAGAATAGTTAAGCTGATACATATTTAACACATTTTTAATAATGAAATAAGATTAATATATCGTAATACTGCAGTAGAAAATAAAAGCAATTATTCATTTTTAAACTATCACACGTAAAAGTGAAAAATCGCGTCTAATACCCGTTATTATAAGTATTGATTAAAGCAGATATAACTTTTTATGAATGTTAGCATGCAATATGACATCGTTAATAATGTGATTTGAATTCCACTTTGCATCCAACTGACCATGAAGATAAAAGTTTTTTTAACGACTTTAAGCGGATTTGAATCTACTTCGGATAAAATAGATCCATAATCACACATTACGTTTAATTTGCTTTATTAAAAAATGTAGAGTTATTTGCACAATTTTTAGTAGCAAAAGATTCGCAATTACATTTATTACTAAATATTTTTCAAAAAATGTATTTTAACGTTGGAGGAAGTTTACGTTGAGACTGCACTTAGTATTAGTCAAAATTCATATTATTAAACAGAGCCTTAGCAAAGGTTAACTAATATTTAAATCTAGAAAGTAGTAGGTATGCTTATTCTCTGTATAATATGAATTTGCACTAATATTAAAATTGCAATTCTTTCGTTAATTTACTCTGACGCTAAACCTTGTGTATTAATAGCACTGTTAGGGATTAAATTGTTTATTGCCTACAAATTTAAATTGATAGGGAAATCGCTGCCATAAATACATCCTTTCAGATAATCAATACGATTGGCGTATACCAATATTAATAAAACAAATAGACGAATAATATATTTATGTTATATAGTTACATAATATGTTAAAATACTCGGATTATTCCTAAGAACTGTTATATTTAGTATAGTATTTAATAACTTCATACCTCATTCACAGAGTATAAAGTGTAATTAGAAAGAGTGTCATTTTATTCAATAATACACCATTGATGCTTATTTTCTTATAAGGAAGGGAATTATTCATTTCCATAAAGCAAAATGTTTGGAAAAGTTTGCTTATTAGTGTACTAGTGATATCATCTACGTCCAGCTTTACTTATTTTCCATTCAGGCAGGTTTATTAAAAACTTATACGATGCTGTATATGTAGAGACATATTAATTTAAATTTTGATAAGAAAATGTTTACTTACTTTACCGACCGCTATTTTTTTAAATTTGTAAGCATATTGAATCAACAGATATAACCCAGAGATAGACTTTTTTAAGTTTTTGGCTATGCCGGTCTCTTGTCTAAAATATTTTGGAATAACCTTTATTGGACTTACTATCAAAGTTCATCAGCCAACCAATTTTACCGACATAATTATGACAGGGAAATGAACTCACACTATTGATACTCACCTATTAAAGTTTCATAGTTCAAATACCTTCATGTGAGTAAAATGGATTTGTACTTGTAAGATTTCAAGAGCGGACGTCGAAGCACGAGTCAATATTTATGTCTTACATTTATATTTTACTAGCTTTCGCCAGCGGCTTCGCCTGCGTGGTCCCTAAGGAAATGTTAAGTGGGATAAAAAGTATCCTATTATCTAAGTCAGCTAATACCCTAACTGTACACCAAAATTCATCAAAATCCGTTCAGTAGTTTCGGCGTGATTGACGGACAAACATCCAAACATCCAAACAAAGAAACTTTCACATTTATAATACTAATAGGATATCAGCTGCCTATTATGAAAATAATACACACAACTCAACATATCGTTTTATCCTTATTAATCCCGAAGATAAAAGGTATAAATTTCTTGAATACCTATCTCTAAAATGTTTCGCAGAACGTCATTAATCACGTGGTGCTGGTGGGGGCGAATATGGCGAATGTTAAAAAATGCGTCGAAACGTAACAAAATAACGTGAGTGAAACAGGCCTTAAATGTCTTACAGGTTTTCCTCACTTAGGTCTCACGGCGATAATTTGCAAATCGATATAATGGCGCATTTTAACTTTCACAACATGAGTTTGTCAACAACTTGAACTAAATACGAAAACTATTTGAGTTACTTATTCAGTCTCAAATCAAAGAATCATGAAAATCGAATAACCGTGAAAAATATTTTTATATTTCCCACAATTTCGCTGTTACCATTAAGCAATTTTAAACATTAATAAATTAGTGACTTTGCAAATTGATAAAATTCAAACATAACATTAGCTGGAACTTTATTTATTTTGTATTGAATTCAAAAATACTACCTTTCAAATAATGTAAACCGTTTAGCAGAATCATCGGAACAATAAATAAAAGTAAAATGTGACGCAACTAAATACATTTCTCGAAATGAATTCAGATCGATAGTGATTGCTTTGTCAAATATATTGAATGTGTCGAATAAAGAAAAAAAGGAAACGACCAAGACATTGATAAAACATATTGAAATGTATCGCTTAATAGACTGAAGCCGACTAGCTGCCATTACGCAGTTTTAACTGGGTTACACGTAAACGTTCGTAATTTGGTTTATTGCAATGAATTTATTACGTATATCGAAATGCTTTCTTTACATTCGACTTTGGATTCCACGTAACATATATTTTAAACGTGAAAATAACAACATCAAGTATTCCCTGTGAGTATTGCGAAACTCATTCTAATCATTCAAAAGAAGAAAACAGAAACAGATAAAAGATAATAATCTTTATGGTGCACAGATCAACAGAATTTATTTATCTTTCTCGAGTTTAAATTATAAAAGGAAGGGCACTAAATGACATTGTGTATCACCAAGGGCAACAAAGAAAGCAAATTAATTTTATATTCATCGGCATTGAACCTTCGCGACGTTGTCAGAGGTCATTGAACCACAATGAAAAGTAAGAAGTGTATTAGAATAAAAGTCAATATACCAATTATACTTTTAAGGGCAATACACCATAGATGAATCAGACATTGTATACCTCCACTTATTCACTAAGGTAACCAATAGTTAACCGTATCTAATCTTTATTATCTGCAACACTCACCTCTTGCGCCGAAAGATCCGAATCTTTCACGGTTTACCGCTATTTTATATTTTTTGTCGCTAGGTACCGGTAGTTTGGACGGATATTTTTCTGAATTACTTCTATAGAGCTTCTCTTTTGACCCGTGTGCCCCCATCTTCTTCTTCATTAATATTCAATCAAGGCATTTTATTTCTCCATATTTGTCACTCACAACTTAGCACTATTAGGAACTTCACCTTTTAGTCCATTCACACTTCGTTGTCACATCACTGTTATTTTAATGTCTCTGTGCGCTACTTAAGCATTTAAGTAGTTTTCGTCATCAGCTACATTTAGCTGGTAGTGAATTAGCACTAAAGTATAAAAAGACTTAGAACCATTAAAGTGTCAAATTTATGTTAAAGCGTGGTGTCATAATTCCAGATTGGTAGTTTATAAAATAGTTTAACAAAAAAACATATTGACATAAATATAAATAAATAAATTGTAGTTAATAATATAAATCCAAAGTGCACACGTGTACAGAGAACGGGGCGGTAAACAAAGCTCATTCGCTGATATAATTATTGCAATGCTTTAATCTATTTTGGTGGAAGAGTCACTAAACCTTCCAGTGTTATATGAACCGCCAAGCGGCATGCTGCTCTTTCGCTAACCACTGTTATAACTACAACGAGAGCATTCGTAAAGCTCTCCGTGAAATGGTGATTTCACACATTAACTGTCTGTTTAAAAAGGATCTCTTCTCGGAGCTGCTTAGCGTGGCCATTTGTCATTCAACGATGCATTACACATAGTACTATTTAGTATTCAAAAGCTTTATGTCAGGGACAGATGTTCAAATTTGATACTCTCTTGTAAAGTTTCGATATAAGTACATACTATGACAAAAAAGAAATTTGCTATATGACCTTAGTCATGGAACTTTTGATATATTTTACTAGAGATTTAGTTTACTTGTCCCTACAACAGTTGATACTCGATCTTAACTAACACTAATAGAAAAGAGAAAACGCTTGAGTGAGCGGAGTAATTCATTTACGATCAGTCGCTATCGTGGTAGAAAAAAGTAACCAATGCGTTCATAAATACTGTCATATAAAATGACCAGTTAGATAAATAATAAATGTATTTCTTATAGATATCATTCTATGTCATATCATTGCATGAAGAGAAAACGAATGGTAGTAAAGCTAAAGAGAGAGTTCTTTATACGGTGTACGACATTTACCTTTTTTATAATACGATATAAACTATCTATGTTCCCGCAACGTTGCCCACGTAAATTTAAAGCCTATGTTACCCGCGTATGATAGCATGTCGTAGGTGAGAGCATTTTTTAAAAATCGGTATAGTAATTTTAGAGTCTATTAGATGTAAACAAACAATCAAGTCTTTCCTCTTTATAATATTATTTGTATTGATTAATTTAAAATATATGTTTATTAAAATATTTTTACACGTACCTATAACCTTTGAAAATATTTAGTTAACTTTCTAAAAGTAGAACTTAAATAATGTTAATACAATTAATTATTCTTTGCTATTAGTAGAAGGCAATAAATTGAAAATTATAATACATATCATAAACCCGTCAACAACTCCTTATATTCTCTTCGAGTGAGTGTAAAGAAATGCTAAGTTTAGACATTATATAATTAGCTCTGAACTAATTGATCCCAATTTAGACGCGTGAGTTCAGATATAATTGATGAAATTAACTAAAACGTCTTCGTGATTTAGTCATTAGGCAATCTTTTTAACGAGTTGAGTCCTGTGTTAAACGCCAATACATTATATATCTAAAGGTTGTTAACATAAAATTTCAGTACGAATAAGTACCCTACTTTACAACGTACATAATATTATTATATGTAGAACATATACATTTCAAAATACCTACTTAAAGAGCTTTATGTATTGCTTAACTCCTTACAAATGTTACATTAAGATATAAAAGTAACAAAATATTTCACTACAACTGTGTAAGACTTGTCTTTCGTTTTTCACAAATTAATGAAGACAGATGTCTCCTGAGTCGAATATTCATCTCTTTGCGCTAAACTCGGCTCCGAGTATAGCTCTAATAGTCCGTATTAGTCATTCGAAAACACAGAAGTTTACTAAAGTACCAGAGTGCTCTCAGATTTGTAGCTATTCCTGTGGACTTCTTTTAGGGTTAAATAAATATACGACCTCAGGGGGCCAATTCTACTAAATAAATTTTGTTTAAATGGAATCGAAAACGGATCTAAACCGAACGAAACTACAGTTTTTAATGGTTTTTCTATTCTACTGGTGACATTCGATACAATTCCAGCCAAAATAGAACTGGAATTGTATCGTATATCACTTTGTAGAATATTTAGTAGAATTGGACCCCAGGCCTTGTGATTCTAAAAATCCCTACATAAATTCAACACAGTGAAATCATAAATAGCACATTACGAGTAGGTTATACAAAACTGTAAAATTTTCAACCCTTTTTTTAAGTAGTACTGAAGTACTATTTACTATTGATGTACCAAGTAACTTCCAGAATTAGTTAAGAACGAATTAAACATCGTGACCTAAGCCGATCACTCTCACAAATATCACAGCAAAATTGAAAAATAATAACCACATCGATTTTTATTTCAAAACTGTTTTGAAAACAAACGCAATGATTTCATTAATATTTGTTTTGATATGCAACTGAGTCATTGCTAAAAGAAACATTCCGAATAATGAGACTAAGCACCAGCTTCTAAGTATATTAAAGCCAGCATTATGTTTAACATTGCATATGAAAGCAGTTAACGGCGTGCGGGCGTACAACATGGAGAACGAAGGAGCTATAAACCTATTTGGAAACATTTTTCGCAATGATATTATTTATGAAAATCTTGACCTCTCTTTCATACTTGTGGTGAAATAGCGTCTAAAATTTGCACCATAAAGTGTGAATATACAGATTTAGCAAGCCTTTGAACTAATCCCGAGGAAAAATAAGTACTTAAATCTCAAATGCAACAGCGGTCATATTTGAGATAAATTTTCAGTAACAGTGCAACTTTTGGTAGAGATTACCTATCTTCCTTACCTACTGAAAAGTATCACGTACAATATTTTATTCCAAATAGACAAAATAATAAGAATTTCTCTACAAGAATTAATGCTTCAATGCTGGATATGTTTGCGATTTATAAACCCACAGTCACTATCAATTTGAGTAAGGGTAATTAGTACCTACTAGTCAATTCACATAGCTGATTTGTATTGGTAGCAAGTAATTTTTTGACATGCTCTAGAAATCACTCTTTATATCTAAGAATATAAAACGAATCTTTTAGCTATGCTTTAAATTCTGATATGGGCAATAATATTTCAAACACACAAATTACCAAACGCTCTTCAAATGGACGATTTGTATCACTCAAGCTAATATGTTGGTATAAAATCAACAGATGTACAAATAAGACCATGTATGGATTAAGACGCATAATACAATACAGCTACAAAATCCAGTTACAACACCACATCTAGTATTAATATTACTGTTGATCGGACATAATTATTCAACATTTTTGCAATGCAAAATACATAGAACAACAGAATCACTTTTCCGGTCGGCTACACTTATCATGAACACACGCCGCTATCAAAATTCACTTTGTAACAAAACGCACAATTGTTCATGTCGTTATCAATGTTCACCAAACTATGATATAGTATATATGCATTAAATTTAATTAACGACTCGCACAGACATTTACGATCGTCAGAGTAACGTATGTCGCAGTCACAGAGTAAACACACCGACCAACTTCTGCCGGCAGCGGTGAAACAATGTTCCACCCCACCCGTGTAACGATAAAAAACTATCTAAGCTAGCGCATCGCTGATTTTGTAATAACTTAGCGAACATAAATAAATGCAGTTTATAGAATTCTGCATTTCATAAGTACGTCAAGATAACCTGGTTGAAACCGAGCGAAAAATCGTAGCTTTCATTGGGCTATTCTAAGTTATCTTTACTTATTAATTTCCATTTTGCATTCACCAAAAAAGTTAGACGACTTTAAACCATAATTTCTATTAATTAACTCATATGTCCAGTGCATTTACATCTACTACATTTGCAAAGCCAAGAAGTAAACTAGACAGCTAGATAGTAGGCAATAAAGCATTTATACTGCTTCTTGGGTATTACTTTCTACCAGTCAACTGGTGGTCGAAATTCTAGGAAATGAACGTGCTGGGAAATTAAGATGCAGCGCTTACTGGATTATTGATCAAAGTTACTGCATTATTGTGACTTGTACCATTTTTATGTATTCAATTTTACTTTTTTTTTTGTTAAACAACGCGTTGTGATCATAGTTTTCAGTCATCCACGTGCTACGATCTGCCAGATCAAAATTTCTGTAGAGGAAACGGTAAACCAATAACGAGTCATCTGCTCATTTATGGTGTTCGTTGCTAATCCATGGCGAGACTATATCTACATATTTAATTTCTTAAGACAAAAATTTAATAAGATTAAAACAAAATCGAATAGCTGTATATGAACGTTTATTTAGAGGTAGGATCAAGATTAAGTGATCAGAATTCTTAACCAGGCAAATAACTTACATTAAAACTCAATAATTTGAAACGAGAGTTTTTCCGTCAGTAAATCCAATGGGTTTCCGATTACGTGAAAATAATAATAATTAAAAAATATCTGTCGCACCTCACGACATACAATCTTCAATTTGTTCTCGTTTAATGTCAGTTAAAATCATAATTTTCATTTACAAATGCACTCTAAACACGTCCCAGTAAATATGATTCATTTGATCTGTCAGAACAGATCAAACGAAATTATTTAAGATTGATATTTATAATAACAGGAATATGGATGAACCACTCAAAATAATATTGTGGAATATTTTAAAATCAACGTGGCTTAAGTTAAGTATTTAACTAACCCCTCTTATTATACTTATTAGGTAGGGGAAGTTATTTCATTCTCACACGAACTGGTATTTCCCCGAAAATCAATACTTGCTTACATAATTATTATCTAACTCTATGCAAAAATATTGCAAATAATAAAAAATGCCTCGTTTTAGAAAAAAAATAAAGTTTTTTAAGATACAAAAGATAGTAAAGAAATTTTATGCACCCAGTAATGACGGTCGTGAATTAAAATGCCTAATTATGTCTTTAAAGTCATATAACGTTTTTATATGACTTTTAAATACTATATAAAATTATATTTATATAAAAATACATTACAATCTGTTATAACTTCACGGTCATTATACTATATATCATTCATGCTGGTAAAAATTATTTATTAACTAAAAATTTTCCAAAAACGAAATCG